ACAATTCATTTGCGTCCAATTTCCAAAATCCAAAAACATGTTGGAGGGTCCATCTTATCTCATCTCGAGGGACTTGCCTAGCTCTTGTGAACAAGAGAGCAAATGGGTTTATTACGCTTTTCGTGTGATCGAAATGACAAATAAGAAGCATCTCTTAGAAGATAGGGTTGAACCTTTAGCAAAAAAATCATGCAAGTTGCCAGATGATGCTCACAATCGAGGGGAGGATGTACATGAGTTCTTAGTTGACGATCAGGATAAACAGCATTGTGGTGGAGACCAGTCGGATTCAGGTTCGCTGATCCACCAACTTGGTCGGGATATGTCAATAAATTGTCTCCTCCACTGCTCAAGATCAGAATACGGTTCGATTGCCTCTCTAAATCGAGGCTTCCGATCTCTTATTACGAGTGGTGAACTTTATAAACTGCGGAGGCAGATGGGCATCATTGAACATTGGATTTACTTCTCCTGCAGCCTTCTTGAATGGGATGCATACGATCCAAACTCTAACCGTTGGATGCGTCTGCCTATAATGGCATCAAACGAGTGTTTCATGTCTTCGGACAAGGAGTCATTGGCTGTTGGGACTGAACTTCTAGTTTTTGGGAAGGAAACAATTTCCCAAGTTATATATAGATATAGTATTTTAAATAACACATGGTCATCTGGGATGAAAATGAATGCACCCAGGTTTCTTTTTGGTTCTGCTAGTCTTGGTGAAATTGCAATTCTAGCAGGTGGTTGTGACCCACAAGGGAATCTCCTGAACTCAGCTGAGCTTTATAATTCTGAGACAGGAACTTGGGTCACTCTTCCTAGAATGAACAAAGCACGGAAAATGTGCTCAGCAGTATTTCTTGAGGGAAAGTTCTATGTGATTGGTGGAACTGGGGCAGGTAATACCACTCTTACTTGTGGTGAAGAATATGATTTGAAGACTCGGACGTGGCGTGAGATACCTAACATGTATCCTGGACGAAATGCTGGAGATGGGGCTGCTGTGCCGGTTGCTGCTGTTGAGGCACCTCCTTTGGTTGCAGTTATAAACGATAAGTTGTATGCTGCCGATTATGCACATAGGGAGGTTAAAAGATATGACAAGGCAAGACAATTGTGGGTGGCAGTAGGCCGATTGCCCGAGCGGGTGGTCTCAACAAATGGTTGGGGGTTGGCATTCAGGGCTTGTGGAGATCGACTCATCGTCATTGGTGGACCGAGGGCTTTAGGTGGACGTATGATTGAGATATATTCTTGGGCCCCAGATCAAGGGCAGCTGCATTGGGGTGTGCTTGCCAGCAGGCAGTTAGGTAATTTTGTGTATAACTGTGCAGTCATGGGATGCTGAGGGCGTCCTGTATTCTAACAACCCTCTGTGGTGTCTGGAGTCATTTCATAAAGGACTTCCTTCATGATCCTCACTTTTCAAGGCAAGCTATCTCTGCCTTCTGCTGCTGTGGAAATTGCGATGATATTTAAACAGATAGAATGAATAGGTCCAATTGAAGAAGGTAGAATCTTTGTCTTGTTTTCTATTTATTGCATTTTCTGTCCCCCTGTTTTTCAATTACTGTGAGATATTCTCAAATGCCCGTATCATTTAGAACAGTCAAAACAAATAATCTCAAGTGCCGATGCATGTTTTTAGGTTGTGTTCACTATGTGCGCTGCTTCAATTTGAACTTACTGAATTGTGAAGTGGAATAATTTTGCATAGCTGCCTCTGTTTTCCTATGCCAAGAAAAATTAAGAAGGATACAGTGTGTGATGTGTTATCTGTTTTTTTCTCCTTTCTCATAGACAGTAAGTGTGGCATAGCATATGAGAACTGCACACTTTTGGGATTCTACTTTTTGTGATTTTGATTGAAATGATCGGATTAATGAATTCTAGCCATGAAAGGATTGTGACCCAACTGGGTGCCTTTTAAGTGCCAGAATGGGATCCTTTTCAGTGGGGGAGGAGGGGCCTGTGCAACTAGTATCACCATGATCCCATTCCCCTCTCTCATCATATGATGTAGATTATGGATATATAAATATATTCCCCGTAGACTTTGTATCCAATATTGTAACCATACAGTGAAAGCTGTGAATGCCAATGTCGGGCAACTCAAAGTTGCTTTATTGTCATTCCTTGACCTTCGGATACTGAATAGGCAGTAGCCATTGGGCCTCCTACATTACATTACTTATGTGACTGAAATATTGGCATTGAGTGAGGTGGTTCATTAGCAGCACCGAGGAGGCGAGAAGGAAAAGAAAAAGGAAAACTGGGGTTGCAGTGCTCCTGCTCTTCCCCTCCCCCCGTGGACAAAAGGGCGGTGGGGGCGTACCTATGGGGTGAAAGACCCCACCTGAAGCTGTAGCGGTGAGTCTCATGTGACGTGGGTGCTGCACAGCTCATTAACCCACCCCCGCCCTCCCTCTATCCGACTTTCTAAACTACATGCCCTGGCCCTGGCCCCGGCCCCCTCCCATACCCCTCCCTAGCATGTAGAGATCTGTTTTACACTTTCACCTTATCTCATTACCCAGTTTTTAAGGGTCTTTACATTAAGAAAGATTTCAATGTCGTTGAAACTCATTTACAGAAAGTGACTCCAATCAATTCAACTGAGCTAGGTGGGGGTGGGGGAGCATAGAGAGAAAAGGAGGGAGGGAGGGAGATTCTTGTAATTTCATTATTTCCTCAACAACAGACAACTGTTGTTGTCTATATATATTATGATAAATTAGTATTCCTTTGCTTATTATTATCATTAATTGTTATTTATATTTTTATAAAAAAAAGATTTGAAGGGGTTTGACATTTACATTAATGGGGGGGTTGACTCCAGAGGAGGCCCGTCCCTTTGAGCTCAGTTCGTGGGGTAGCCTACCCTCGAAATTAGGGCAAAACGTCCAAAGACCTTATTGGATTTACATTCAGATCCAATGTAAGTGAAATATGTAATTAATTAATGAATTTTACATTATTGATAGTTTTGTTGAAGCGTGATTTTATTAATAAAAACATTAAAACTATGTTGGCACTGTAAGAATGGAAAAATGAAACATACGCATGCCTAACTATAATAGGCATGGACCAATATGTACATAAATATAGTACTAAATTGGTTTTAGTGTCGTCACATGTCACACAACCAAACAAAATCACAATCACTAAATAAAAAATATATATATCTTTGTTTTTTCATACTATCCCCATTCATTGTTTGTCCTTTTAAAAATATTGTGTATTTCTTATTTTCTCGGCTCCATTCCATTTTAAACCATTTAAGAGAAATAGATGTGTTTAATTGGTCGTTCTCTTTCCAATCTACTCTTTTATTCCCTTCTTTTTTTAATCTTAGATGCTCTCCTCCCTACAATAATTTAATACTTTCTTAACTACTAATGCTTTCCCAGTGGCTATCCCAAGTAGGTGGTAGACTAATGTGTACAAAAAAAAAGGGAAAATATTAATTATACATACAAACAATAATCATTACAATGGTCGATAATTCGAGAATTGAAGCCTATAATCTCAACATTACCAACAATGACCTTCAAGTAAGTAACTCAAATTGAAATTTAGATTTTGGCGATACCATACCAATACAAGGAGAAAAAGGTGGTGGGAGTAGAGGGGAAGTGACCATTCAAAGGGATAGGATTTGGTTGAAAGATTTGGTATGGGATTTGGGATTTGAAGGAACTCTAATAACCCTTAGCCTAAACCCATCACTTTATGTGCTTCATGCTGCGCCTTTTCTTTTCTGACACTTGGTTTTTGTACCGTTCACACACATAAATCTGCCCACAAAAAAGCCTTATCATTAATTGAATAAAAACAAAGATGATTAGGGTTTTAAGAGAGTGTGTTCTTGGGCAGACAACATTATAATTAAGAATTATTCACACCAACGTTGTGTGTGTGTGTGTTCGTAATGGAGAATGGTTGGTTGTTTGATTTGTCGCTGAAATGGGCGCATAATTTAAAAGGATTTAAAAGGATTTGTCCCGGCCAAACTGAGACCGTGGTGGAAGGGATCTTCTGGTGGAAACGACAGGTGTTGGTTTGTCGTAGGCGGATGGGCTTTGATTGTGGGCATTTCTACTGTTTGCGTGTAAGAGAATGGGCCAGCCCTGATTGCAACTTCTCAAACACACCCTCCCCTTTTTAAGCCTCGCTCCTTCCCTCCCTTCTTCCACCCCTTTCTTTTCTTTGCTTCACTCATGGCTTCCTCCACATTACCCGACGACCAACTTCGAAATCTTCTCTCCAGATTGCAAACCTTGCTCCCTCAACTCAACCATACACTCCACACCTCCACCACCGTATATACGTCCACCCTTTTCTTAATTATATACGTCCACCCTTTTCTTAATTATGATACAAGCGATTTTATTAACTTATTACAAATATTTGCAGGTATCACCGGCAGAGGTTTTGAAGGAGACGTGTGATTACATCAAGAAATTGCAGAGGGAGGTAGATGATCTAAGTGAGAGGCTATGGAAGCAGCTCGATTCCATGGGTGTTGACTTTGAAATGGTTAAACATCTCCTCAGTTGAGAATGTTTAGTTAATAATGTTTCAGCTTCTCTGGTTCTTGGAGTTAAATCGTTCTTGAAGTTAAATCTTTCGACATGATTTTTCTCTCTCGTTATTTTGTACTATGATAACCAACCGCTGAGAGAGAAAAGTGGTCGATTCTATGTTCTATCCACGTATTTCTAGTTTTATGTGCTTTTTCTATATAATAGTGGAGGTGTATCTATTGTATTGTATGCAACAATTTTACCCCTCATTTATTTTCCTTTAATTGAAAAAGGAAAAAAGAATTCATTTAGGTGATAGGAAGGTGGTTAATATTAAAATATTATATATTTTTATTCGAAATAAATAAAGCATAATTGAAAATACATTTGTTTTGATTGATTATTTAATGTCACTAATTTGTAGGTTTGCTCGTGATAGGCTAAAAACTCATAAATATAATGTAACTAACCATCTTTTCAAGTAAATACAAACAACCATCATCAATATTCAAAACACTAAAGTTCCAATTACCAACAAGAAAACAAATTTTTTTATTTAAAAAGAAAAAGAAAAAGAAAAATAGCGTATTGACATGATCCAACTTAATATTGATTTAGTGAAGTGGCATTTCAAATTTCTCAAGAATGACGTGGATATTAGCGACAATGGCCAAGCAGTTGCTCACGTATTCGTTGGACTTTCTCATCCTCGTCTTCACCTCCCGAAACGACGTCGAATCCATCTCCTCAAGTCCGTCCAAGCAACTCTCCTGGTCCGTCATCGCACTGCTCATCCACGTCTGAATGTTGCCGATCTTACTCTCCGTCAACGTCTTCTCGCCGGCGCCGGATCCCATTTCTGCTGTAGAGTCATTGACCAGGCTAATTGCGTCTTCGATTTGGCTCTCGCAGTCCTTCAAAGCTTCTCCTCCGCCGTTGGCGGTTAAGGTTTTCAGCGATCGTGACAGATTGGAGAGTTCGTTGAGGGAAACTTGGAGAGAGAGCTTCAAAATTAGTTCGGGATCGGGTTCAGGAGAGGAATTGAGAGAAATTATTGAGGTGAAGCAGGAATTGGGGTAACGAGTTACGTTGCAGACGATGTTGATTGCGTCGGCCGAATTGGGCGATTTCTTGCCGGTGGAGTTGTAGATGGAGGCTGCGATGATCAATCCGATGAGGAGAGTGGTCAGGACGACGGCGGAGATGGCGATGGTGAGGCGGAGAGATTTGTGGTTGGGGATTTTGAAGTTTGGTTTGGACGGCGGCGGGAGCTGATCTTCGAGTTGGAGTTCGAGGTGAGTCACTTTGCCATAGCCTTTGAGGGCATTGATTTGATCCATGATTTCGGTTTTGAAAGAAAAAATGGAATTGATGCGTGTTTGTTTCGTTGAAATTTGGAGAAATTATGCAATCTGAATCCTTCTGGGAAGGGGAAGGGGAAGGGGAAAGGGTAGCCGAAGTCAAAGTCAAACCCACCGTTTTCATTTATTCCACTACGTGGGATTTGATTTATTTCTATCCATAAATATATGTGTATTTAACAAAATTGGAATTCTAACTTCTAAAATCATAGAGCCAAATTTATAATTGAATCTTTTATTATATATAACATAAAAAAATAGTTGATTTGTGTTTTTTGAAGTGGGGGGAAACATTAAATGGCATACCAACCTCACCACACCCATTGCTCATTAATTGTTTCTTTATCCTTTCCATTCCATTAATTTTTCGAGTTTTTTAATTTTTTGTTCTTTTTACATATTTTGAATTAATTCCAATAAAAGGGGAGTTGTGAGCCACATTAATTTGCCTCCTACGGACCATATAAAAGAATAACTTTTGATGAAACAACATTTCTTTTCAAAGGCATCTCTTTTCCCTCTTTATTAAAAGATACAAACTTCCTCCATAATTAACCAATGAATTAACTAACATTATATTCTCAAACATATTTATAATGACTGCGTTTAAATTTATAATTTATAACACAATTTTTATACCAAAATAATAGAATTAAATAGAAACAGGTAATGTACATTTTTTTTTGTCGGTGGTCGGTGGCCAGGGAAAAAAAAAAAAAAAGAAGAAGAAAAAAACTGAAGTGTTCATTGTGAAGGGTGTTCAGTGTTTTCCTTTTTCATTTTAATATTTAATGGGTTAATTTGATTGATTGATGTAATTATATGGGATTCTTTCTTTTTTGGGAAAACTAATTATTCCTTAATTCGTTGAAAATCAGATCCCAGCTTAATGAATAAAAAGGATGTTAATTTAAACGAATGAATTAGGGGAGTGTAGTTTGGTTTGTGTAACGCTAATTGGTTATCGGTTTGGAACAGTCAATTCCCCCCACCGTTCAATTGCACCTTCCGTTTCGAAATGGGTTATTTAAAAGTTGTTTAAAGCTTGGTTTCCCCCTTAATATACGCCCGGATGCGGCTTCCTCCTTATTGCCGGCCTTCTCTTCCCCTTCATTTGTCTTCTTCTCTCCGTTTCCGCTCTTTCCATCTGTTTCTTTCCCCTGCTTATGATTTGGGTTTTCTGGGAACTGCCTTCCGAATATGGCTTCCAATATTGGAATGATGGACAGCGCTTATTTTGTCGGTAGGAATGAGATTTTGACATGGATCAACAATTGTCTTCAGCTCAATCTCTCTCGCATTGAAGAGGTTTTTTTCCTCTCTTTCTCATTCGTTCTCTTCCTTGGGAAATGTTTGTTTTATAATGTCTGAAGTGGGCTTTCCTTTTCTTCGTTCCTCTCGGACAAAGGGAGGCTTCGTTTTCTAATTTCTTCATTTTCTTTCTTTGTGATTATCCATTGTTCATGATGGTATAATGTTCGTATCTGGTGGGTACGCACGTCGTTTTGTAGAAATGCTTGGAAAAACGGAATCAATGCCGCGAAACATTTTCTAACAATTGCTCTATTTCAGGATAGTGATTTGGATTTTTGATTGGGAGTAATTTTGTTGTCTTTCCTTTCCTCATGGAAAGAAGGGTCATAATTATCCTTTTGCATTCCACTGATTTTGGACGCAATACATACTCGTATTTGAAGACTGTTTGAAGATCAATTTAGCGATGCGAAATTCATTGAATAGGTCTCTCATCTTGAGAAAATTCTTTTGTTGAGTTACATGCAGCGGGTCATTTGTTTGTTATATGATATTGATTTCATTGCTAGGAAAATCACTGTTGAAGTGGTTTTCTGTTTATCCTGGTTCTCACTCTGTTATCTTTCCATGGCATCCATTATAAATTGTTGGTATCCCTTTTCCCATGTTTGTCGTTCTGCCTAGGCTGCATCCGGGGCTGTGCAGTGTCAGATGATTGATATGACCTACCCAGGAGCTGTCCCAATGCATAAGGTTAGTTAATGACTCTTATATCTAGTTTTATTTATATTTTTCATCTTCTTCAGATTGTGAGAATAATTAATGGCAACTGTATGCTACTGACTTATCTGCCTTGGATGGTATAAAAAGGTCAATTTCGATGCGAAAACTGAATACGATATGATCCAGAATTACAAGGTTCTGCAGGAGGTATTCAATAAATTGAAAATTGAAAAGGTATGTAACCAAATGGTCTGCTTAATCTCCCAGCTCTTAATATGTGAAGTTGGCAGTGTTTGTTTTGGTCGTCGAGGCCTAGATGATGCCGTGCTGGACATATGTTGATATCATTTTTCATTCTTCCTAAGCAGCATACTTGGTGAAATGGATGGTGCCTTACACAACTGTTGTTTTAAAGCCTAATGTGTTGTGATTGATAGTTAGAAGGATGTTCATTCCTTTACATGGTTTACTGAATGCTGAAGTTATTTGTGGCAGCACATTGAAGTCAACAGGCTTGTAAAAAGTAGACCTCTGGATAACTTAGAATTCTTGCAATGGCTGAAACGCTACTGTGATTCAGTTAATGGTGGCATAATGAATGAGTATGCTAAATTTATCATTTTTTTCTTTCGAGTATCAACTATAAACCAGTGCCTTCCTTCAATTGTCGACTTTTCCTTGAATGTCTTGACAGGAACTATAATCCTGTGGAGAGACGATGTAAGGGTGGAAAGGGTGGACCGACGATGAAGGGTTGCCAGAAGGTTGCTAAATCACTGCAAACAAATAATATGCATAGCCCTGGCTCTGGTGATCCAGTTGAACTAAGTAAGACTTATGCTAAGTAAGACTTCTGGTAATGAGCCATATATTAAGCTATTTGGTGGCATGTCGATCCAGGATCCAAGCCAGGGAAGAACGGTGCAACGGGTGGGGCAAATTCTTCTGGAGAAATCCAAGCTTTGTCCAAGGAGGTAGGCTGCAAAATAATGTCACTGCTAATTTCTGCGTTATTCTTTGGTGAAGGACGGCTCTGGCTTTTTGCTTCCCCTTTGTCCTCCAAATTGATGTTATATAACTATTATTTTGACTCTCCCTCTCTCTTACAAGTTGTTACTCATTATGTTGCCTTTTTTCTTGTGAACAGATTACGGATCTGAAAATGTCCGTAGATGTTTTGGAAAAAGAAAGGGACTTCTACTTTGCAAAATTAAGGGACATAGAAATCTTTTGTCAGATGCCTGAATTAGAAGATCTCCCGGTAAGAGATGCATGGATATATGGAGAAAGGGTGGAGCATTAATGAATACTTTGCCAGACCTCTAACCTTGAAGAGGACATTGATAATGGTATGGTTGATAATTGTACGGTTGATAATTGTACGTTTGATGCAGATGGCAGCAGCAATCAAGATGATTCTGTACGCAGCAGACGCGAAGGAGTCGGCACTCGCTGAGGCTCAAGAGTACATATACCAATCGAAGAGGACTGACGCTGAAGATGAAAATGAGGAGTGAATTTGTGTGAAGCTTCAAATTGAGCAACAAAAAGCTCCCTTACCCATCACTCATCTCCATCCATCACTTATCATCTCTAATGAAATGAAGACTTAAAAAATTCCTTGTATGATTGTTAGCTGGACTTCGACCATTGGGTTTTTAATAACAACAGATATGCTCAAACCATTAGCTTGCCTTAAATTCTTTTTGTTGTTCGAGAAACTGTCGCAGTCTTAAGATTTATACTAAGTTTGTCCAGCTTTTTCGATGCTTATTTGGATGTGCTTTAATATTACTAAACGACCAGAAACAGTACAACACCAGTTTTTTCACAGACCCAAAAGAAGAAAACAAAAACAAGAACAAAAATGGAGAAAACTTTGAGCTTTGTTTGAGTTCCCACTCTTATTGTACTATGAAATCGCCAATGGAATGGTGGCATCAGTTTCAGTATTCATAGTCCTCTGCATAACCATAATAGCTGCTGCTATTTCTTCTGTGCATTTCGGCCTGTAGAAGAAGAAGAAGAAGAAGAAGAAGAAGAAGAAGAAGAAATGCATTAGTTTAGGCAATAGAAGGTGTGTGAATTGAAGGTGGAAGCAGAAAGAAGCACCAAAATCTGACTCACATTGTCAAGCATGTACTGAAGTTCTCCACTTCCATGCTGCTGAATGTACTTCTCTGCAGCAGTGATAATGTCATCACGCTGGTTCAAAGGGTCCTTTCCTTTAGGAACATACCAAAGGTTCACTCTTTGCTGGTTCACCATCAGAGGTCTTAAGTAATGCTCGTACACATACGAAGCTCCACTGAAGCAGGGCATTGACAACCAACACAGCAGAACCAGCCTCGCATAGGGCCATATTGGGATCCTGCCACGTCAAAGTTTCAGTGAACATGTCAAACTCAAAGCAAGTGAGAAAGCAGAAGCTCCTAAACGCTTACCATTCAAGAACCTTGGCGAAGGTCATCTCGAAGAGGGTAATCATGGAGTGGAAAACCCAATAGGTAAGCCATTGCTGATCATCGACTTGAGACTTGGTCTCGATGGCTCTGATCGACGCATATCTGCAAAACAAGGCCAAATCCCAATATTCAAAAAGATTCAAATTCTGAAGGAGAGTGAGAAAGAAACTTACAGGGGATAGAGCAGACCGACAAGGGGCCTGCAAATCAAATCATGCCAATGTATGAATATGTGGGAACATCAAGTAAATAATGAAGCAAGCAAAGAAGAAACAAAGAGAGTATAAAGATACCCAGCAAGAACATCGAAGTTTTTAAGAACAACTTTAAAGAAACTTCCAGCCCCAGATCCCATGTTCAGGTTAATACATTAATATCTTCAAAACCCAGAATCCCAAAACGAAAGAATGAAGAGAAAAAGAACACGTTTCTTTCTTCTTTTTCTTCCTCTAGATCTTAAGCTCAACAAGCGGTGGAGCAGTGTGCGTGTTAAACGAAAAAGCGTAGTCATTGAAAGAAAGAAAGAAAGAAAGAAAGCCAGAGGAATCAATTCCAAGGATAACTTGGGATCGAAAGTTGGAATCGGAGGAAGGAAAATCAAAAGGGTGTAATTAACAAACTCCAAGGTGTAATCAGATTGTAAGATATAAGTTAGTTAGGAAGACAAAGAAGGAATTAAGGAAAGGGTGGAGAAGGGGAGATGGGTTAAGTGAATGATCATCGTACTGAAACTGAGAGAGAGGTCTGAGGAACACGACAGGGGTTGTCGAGGAGGAAGGTGTGTTATTATATGGAAAATCAGAAATGGGGTTCCTTGAAAGGTGTTGAATCTTCAAAGTAGGATGTGTCCTCGGCTAGCAGAGAGGGGTTGGGAAGAACAAAGCTTGATGGGTTATTATTATTCTTGTTACAACGGAATGACCCACTTCTTCAAAACTCCAACTGATTGGTAAAGGCAAGTGAGAATTGGGGTAAAGGGGAAGGCATTAATGGATGGAGGGAGTGGAAGCAGGGTGGGGCAGAGCCAGGTGAGCGAAACCTGCAAGAGAAAAGGTGTGATCCCACCATTTGCAGAGCAGAGACGGAGCATTTTGAATCATTGATTCAGTAAAAACATGGCAACCAAAGAGAGAGGCTTTGGGTTTGGAGCGA